GCCCTTTGGTGTAGAATGAGGGCTCTATTTATAGTTTTTCTGGAGTGGCATAGCCCGTAAATAGGCGCGAGATCAAAGGCAAACAGGGAGTGGTTTGAATGGACGGCCGATATCGAATCTTTTGATCATGCACCGTTCGTTGGACATTTGAAGGCCTTAATGATTTCGGAATTTGATGATCTTGGGCTCGTTGGATTCGTCTCGTCGAGCCGTTCGATTCGAGTATAAGCTCGTCAAAATCGGAGACCGTTTGGTAACTCAAATTGCGGTTTGAACCTTCCAACAGCGCTTCGAACCTTTGATTCGGACTCATTTGTGCTCGGATTGGGTTGATCTTGGTGTCGTTGGGTTTGTATTTCCGAGACGCTCAGTTTGACTGTAAGCTCGCTGAAATCGGAGTTCATATGCTCCCGAAATTAATTTTTGAAGTTTCCAACTAGGTTTTGCCTTGAGATTCGTGCCCGATCAAGATGATTTTGTGATGCCGTATCACTACTGTTGGACCATAGTCTCATGACCACCATCGCATGACTAAAATCTGCCAACCACCTTCGCTCAACTAATTAATTATTCTGTGGAGATCAATCAAAATGCGCCATTTCACATTTTTGTTGTGTACCGTGACTCGGTACTGCTCGATACCGCTCGGTTCCGCTGACGTGGCTGCACCTGATTTGCCTCCGGACATAGAGTTGCGTCCGGCCTCCACTCAGAATAATTTCTCCTCTGAGAGACTCCTTTAGGAGGAAGAGTGGAGAGATACTAACCACTTGATTAAGGTCCCTTGATGGGCATGTGAGAAGAAGAAGATATATCTAACCTTAGTGATGAATGGCTTTCGAAAATAAAAATTTTGTTCTCAAAGTTTACTACAGAAGTTTGTCATCCTCATCGTGTAAGGTATTGTGAAAAGTTCTGCATCAACGTTTAAGCGTTTATTGAACTGCAAGTTTACAAAAGAATATTATGTCTTGCAAGGCCGGTTGTTTAGTGATCACCCATTACTTTACCTTAAAAAGTGTTCTAACATGGAATCTGCATAAAGAAATTGACCCAAGAAAATAACTAAAACAAAATCATGAGATGAAATTCATGCTGAGTTTACTTGGGTACAATAGATTCAGTTGTAGAAGCAGGAAGAGGAAAGATCGAAAATGGCTTCTCCATTAGACTAGTTTGTACATCATACTCGCAAAATTAGAAATTTAGATGCAAAGAAATTATAAGGGGCAATAGAACAACAAGCATGGAACCTGAAAAGTTTCTGTATAGGCAACCAAAGTTCCCTTCATGATGATATTTCTGCATAGAATATATGTTTATTAGCTCTGCAAAGAGATGAATAATATGAATTGTCAATTTACAGATCCAAAATAAGGTTGTTTTTCCTGTTCTTCAGCAATTCGATTTATCTATTACAATCGAAGTTCACAGAAAGGAACCGCTGCTTCGAACTTCATAAAGCAGTATATAACAACCAAAATATGGCTTGTCCTCAAGGTTAAATGACAACTTGGCTAGACCTTTGAAGTAAAATACCAACAGCAGATCTCCTATATGATGCACCGATACTTCTCCTTAAAGAGACGTGCAGTGTCCGACACATATCCGACACTACACACGTTTGACACGTGTTGGACAGACCGAAAACGTGTTTGTTTAAAAAAGTATTAAATATAAATTGAACACGCATGTCTTAAATATTATATATATATAAATATGCACCTTAAATATTTTATGAAATTTTTTAAAAATATAATTTCTTGCATTTAAAATTTTTGTTTATTTAAAATATGAAAACAAAATTTCTTATTTTCTATCCACAACACACTCAAATGCCCCATTCATTGAATATTCTCATTTTCATTTCCCTATGACAGGTCGCAACTTTGGTTTCACAAGAATGCCCTATGTCATCTCAAAAGTGACGTCTAATGTCGTTACAACATTCACATTTCAAAACCATCCAACATCAAAGTCTAACATTGTCTTCACATTGATGCTGGACGCTAGCAATTTCAACAGCCACAACTTGACAGCTTATTTTGTCTGACATCGTCTTAACATCGATGACCAACGCCTCCTCAACATCGACAACAAACACTCTTTTGACATCGGCGCCCGATACTTACTGCATAACATCAATGTCCGACACTTGACAACATTGTCATCTCTTCTCTCGATGCCTGATACATGGTATTGACACCCGACTCTCGTCGACATCCTAATATTAATCATTTTAGGCATAAATTCTAGTTAAATGATTTATTAATTATAAATTATTTTTAATATTATACTTATTCAATTTTTATACACTATTTTTAAAATATAAAAATTATAATACCGTATCCAACCCATGTCTGTGTCCTATATTTTCAATAATTGACATGTCTCGTGTCCATGTCATATCATATCCGTGTCGTCATGTCGTATGTATGCATCATAGCAGATCCCTGATTCAAGGACAAAATTTAAGGAGCACCTAAAAGTTGACTATGTTAATGAGGATGGCCTTATTTTAGCTTTGATTAGCAGAACCCCAGCCAAGATGACTTTAGGAGGGGTTCTGAACAACAAATCTCAGTACTAGGAAGAGCTTTGGACATCTGATAGAAGTTTGATTTGGTCGGTCAATCAAATATTCAAGTGTCCAAATATAGAATGCTTAAAAATTTAAGCCCCAAAACATGATTTCACTTCTTCATCCTCTATCACTGCCCTCCATAAACTATAAAGCCCATTGTCGCAATCTTTTGTTATCTAACTCAAACCAGATCAACTTGACGTGTCAATCATAACCAGTCCTCAACCAACAGTTGACTCAAAATTTTGGCAGACTAGTCAAATAGTCATCTGGTAGATGTCGAGCCAAATAGTTTAATAAGCAGGCCGTTTCTAGGTCCAGTAAATCTATCTATATACTAAAAAGGCAGGGCTGTGGCTCCGGATTTCTTCAACCTGAAAGTGACCAAAATTGACCCCATAAAGCATTGGAGAAAGTCTCTGCTCAAATTTATTATTGACCTGTAGTTAGAAATGGTTGCGTTATGGTCGGTGGTCACTTCTACCTGAAGAACCTGAACGAGACTATCTACCAACTACAAGCTTACAAGAAGACGACGACGACAACAACAACAAAAACAACATCAAGCCTTTGTCCCACTATGTCGGGTTGGCTAAATGAATCCTTTTTCACCATTGTGTCCGGTTAAAAGTCAATTTCTCATTTAAATCTAATAAAGAAAGATCATTTCTAATCTTTTCTAACCAAGTCTTTTTAGATCTACCTCTACCTTTCTTAACATAAGTCAAATCTAATACCTCAATTTTCCTAACCGGGCCATCGGAAGATCTCCGTTTAATGTGACCAAACCATCTAAGGCGACTATCTCTAATCTTATCTTCCACTAGAGCTACTCCAACCTTTTCACGTACATGCTCCTTTCGTGAATTTTTTTTCATAAACTTCGTAATAACATGCAGCTAACTTGCCATGAATAATTTATTATATTCTTATTAAAATTTAAAAAAAAAAAACCTCAAATGAAATTACAACCAACTAACAAACCAAAACACCAACTGGGTTAGGGTTGGACAAGTTGGAGGGTTCAACTGTGGGACCTAGTCAAAGGACATGTAAGACAAGCTCAGTACACACACCGACTTCTTTTCATAGAGAACTATAGAAATAGATTATTTCACTATGCATCAACCAAGCATGAAACATTGGTTAAATATGCCACCCTGCATATATCACAGATTAGTTTTTTTTAACTAAAAAGAGTTTTTGACAACAGCAAAAAGAATAACAAGCATCGGAGATAAAAGGAATATAAGATATGGTAAAACTTGCTCTAATACTCTCTCATCCTTCTCAGATGAAGCAATGTAATTTGCCTTTTTGTCTTCTACAAATGCTTCGAAGTAATCCTCATAGCCTGTTTTTCTTGGGAGGGATGTGTCTTTCACCTTCATCATTTCCATAGCCTGAAGTACAATAAAAAGGTAAATTGAAATGTACCTTGCAGTAATATATTACCACAGGAAAGCCTCTTGATAAATTTCCTCTTCTGGGTATTTCATTATGGCAAAGTGAATAAATTCTTTACCTGAAAACTAAACACGAATTGCCTAGCTTTCTTGCTTATTTCAGCATTCGGATGAGACTTAAGTTTTTCATACATGATTCTCGCCTCATTTGGCCTACCAAGAATTTCTGTAAATTAGATCAAGACGAAAGCAATGTGCTACAATAGTTCTTAAAAGTTTTTTTGAATTAAAAGCCCATAAGCAAAAAAAAAAATTTATTTATTCTCAAACGTCCTCACAAAAATAAATAAATAAATAAAAAAGCTTCCCAACTAACAGAGAGCTTCAGAAAACAAAAAGATATCAGCTGTCTCAAACGTCTTTAATTAGATTTTTTTTTTCCTTTTTCTATGCACCCTGCCATCCACAGTTTAAGCCTAGCAAAGAACAGAAAAAAATTAAGGAACTGAATCAATCTTCTCAAATTTGAAACACAATCAGTATGATATCATAAGGTAATAGTCCTCAACTGCATTAAAAACCTTCCAGAGAACCTAAAAATAGTTGACCAAATAGTTGAACGCAGCAAACATTTAATATAAAAAAATCATGACCCAGCTTCAGCGTCAGGCTATGAATTCAATCTAAAAGAATCAATGGAATTACTTCAAGACAAAAAAAATAATTTGAGACTCAAATTTCAACTCGTTGGGCCGATGGTCATGTTTTTATGATCTTAGAAGCAATATAGAAGCATCATTTAACCATGCCATTTGCTAGAGTTCGGCAAATAAATGCTCTATCACTATGAAGAAAAAAGGCAGCGTCATAGGAAGAAATAGGACTACCTTTCTAAAAGATAAGCAATAGCAAGAACAACTACTCAAGTAGTGATTTAGTTACAAGAAACACATACCTGCTAAGAGAATCTTGACAAATAGACCATTGCAAAGCAGCCAACCCATGCAGTTCACTCTGAAAAAGCCATCATTATAACTAGAATAAAAGTGGTCAGAAGCTGGCTTGGAGAATAATAAAGACCTAAATTCTTAGTCTCAAAATGGCTACTCACTCTCCAAGTTTATGTTTGCAACAGCCTCAACACTGCCGATGGGTGAATTTACACTTCGTTTGGGATGGCTTTCTTTATGCTTCTTAAAGCAGCTTTCTAATACAAAATTTTTATGTTTAGAAAGCTGCTTTAAAAAGAAGAAAGAAAGCCGTCCCAAACGAAGCCTTAGTTTCATCTCACATATGACAGACTACCAAAAAAAAACAATTAAAGAAAACGATTCCAGGCCTTAAATATTATATTCCAGGCCTAAAATCATGACATTTAACCACATTATATAAACATGCAAAGGAAAATATCGTGCAGTTCATATTATTTGGCACATAAGTTTCTCGAAATGCTTTCCCTAATAAAAGCATTTAATAAACAAAAAGATAATTTCAAGCCTAATAATGGGTAATAAATGCTTTACAACAAAAATATTATCTCTAGTTCATGTCCAAATAAGAAAGATTGAATTTTGATATTAGCTCGACAATTAAACAAAAAACTTGTGTCAAAAATCATATAACAGATTCGAATTGCTTTTTTCCAATACAATTCCCTAGTAGCAACATGCCTTAATCCAACCCCTTAATAATCAAAAGTGAACATGGGTTGGATAAAATGACACAAAGTGATACACCAAAATTTTTGACTGAGTTGTGGTGAGCTAAAAACAAATATTGGCTGGAACATAATTCAAGAGTGATTCACAATCATTCAGATTAAAAGGGCATGACTTAGCTAGAGATGCTACTAATCACAAGGGAAATCAGGCCAGCATAAAATGAATCAAAAGCTTAAGGGCAAGGAAACATAAAGAAAAAGTTTAAAAGAGATCAAGCTTGCATTCTTTATATAGAATGAATTTTAAAGGGAATGATAGATAATTAATGGACATAGATTCAATGCTAACTGTATAGATTATGCTAGGATTAATGATGGAAGGGAGACAGAAGACAAATAAAATTGATACCGGTTATCACTTTTGTGGTGTCATACTTGGCATGTTTATTTTTTATTATTTATGTTATGCCACTAGTAATCTATGTAAATTGTTATGGGCCTGCATTGTTTTTTTAGTTTGACTATTTCTATGCTTCTTTTTATTTGTTGAAAGCCAGACAGCCTTATCATTTGAAATAAGATCAACAACAACAAGCATTTATCCAACTACGTAGAGTAATGAATCTTTTTTCTCCATTATCTCAAATTCTCATTTAAATCTAATAAAAATATATCATTTTAGGTTTACCTCAACCTTTTTTAATATAGGTTAGATCTAATATATATACTCTCCTAATAAAATCATCGGAAGGCAAGGCCGACATTTCATGTTACCAAACCACCTAAAGATGAGTAGGTGACCATCTCTAATTTTACCTACCACTGGAGCTACACAAGCATTTTCATGCATATACCCATTCCTGAGCATCGTCAACTCTGTAACATTTAACTAAATTGTATACTTCTCTTTTACGGACCAACATTTTGCGTCATAAAGCATTGCAGATCTCACTGCCATCTATTTCATCATCACTTTGAACAATAGACTTAAGTATCTAAAACGTGCACACTTTTTAATGATTTCTACCCAATGTAACAATTCCATTACTAGATCTATTACTACTAAAATTATTCTCCATGTATTCAGTTATATCTACTCAAATGAAAACCTTTAGACTCTAAGGTTTACCTCCATAATTTAATTTTTTCATCAACTCCCTCTCAAATCTTATCAATAACAAGAATATCATCAACAAAAAGCATACACCAAGGTACATCCTCTTGCAAATATCTAGTAAGAACATTCATGCCTAAAGCACAAAGATATGGGCTTAAAGCTAATCCTTGATGTAATCCAAACGAATTAAGAAAATACTTAGTCAAACCACCTTGTATTTGAACAAAAGTAACAAATCCTACATGCATATCCTTAATGACTTGAATATAAGTATTATTAACTCTTTTTTTTTTCCCTTGAAATTTTACCATATACTTACTCTAAATCAATAAATATCATATGTAGATCCTTCTTACTCTCTCTATACTTCTCCATCAAACCTCTCAACAAATATATAGCTTCCATGGATGACCTACTCTGCATGAATCTAAAATGATTTTGAGAAACACTAGTAACATGTCATAACATATGCTCAATTACCCTCTCATAATTTTAACACATTAACTTAATTTCTCTATAATTTGCACACTCTTATGTATCACCTTCGTTCTTACAAGAGTTGTATGAGATGGCAAGTATTATTAACTTCAACATCCCATGCTCATCTCTATTTTTTCTTTGTAGTACTTTCTTAAGATATGCTTCATAATTACCATGATTAAACAATAGTTACCAATTAAAAAAAAAACTCACACACAAAAACACGAGCATACACACAAATAAGTAAACAAGTTCTAAAATAGCATCTATAACATTGTAAAACCCGAAATCGACGATTGCAATTGTTACACACATCTTGATGCACACAACGAAATTTAAGTGAAATTTCAAAGTTGTCAAAATTTGATGAAATTAATTTTATAAAATTTTACGCGAAATTCCGACCAAATTGATATAAATAACCTATATTCAATTTCGCTTAAATTGAAAGTTAAAAATGTTAGAAGTTTCATAATACCCAAACTACCCTTAATAATTATTAAAGCGAAATTTAGTCTTTGAAGGGCAATTTAGACTTTATGCAAACAACTTTAACTCCTCCCTCTTAAGGGTTCAATCGGTCCCCATTGTTTCGTGCGGCCGAAACTAGCGGGGAAAAGGCGGATGGGAGAAGGGCGACGGGCGGCGGCTCCAGCGACTTTTCCGGCGAAGAAATTTGAGGGAAAACGTAAAGGAAGGCTAAGGGAAGACTAAGGTGAGTTTCTAAGCAAGAAATTCCTTCTTTTTCTCTAGATTTTTGGAAAAGAAAAATCTAGGGATTATGAAAAACTCCAAAATTTCTTTTGAAAATTGTTAGAGAAGGTAGGAGGGATGTTTCTAAACCTAGAAAGGAGATTTTATACAAATTTTTTTGAAATTTAAAAATTAGAGTTTTTCATAAAAATTGAAATTCCTTAAAGAGATTTCACAAAAATGTTTACTATGGGTCCTAGGAATGTTTCTAAAATGAAATTTTGAGTTTTTTAAGAATTTGCATTTTTCTTATTTTTCATATTAAATTAATCCGAAAATATTAAGCCCTAATTATTAAATTAATAATGAGAAAGTTTTAAAATGCATCTATAAGAGAATTAGGAGATTTTAGATTTCCTAAAAATTGGATTTTTAATAAATCCAAAAATAGAATTTAATTAAAATAATTATTGAAAATATTCTATGATTTATGTTTAGTCTGATTGTAATTACTTAGGTGTGGATTAAGGGGATGACAAGTGTCTGAGTGACGTCGTACGTCATAGAAGTTTGCTTTGCAATTGTTAAGGTAGGTACTTGCATTTAAAATAAATTTTATGTTTTAAAATTTTTTTTTAATGCAAATTTCACATGTTATAATTATCTGCATTTATTTTTATTCAAGAAATGTTAAATGTTGTATTTATGTTTATTGTTATATTAATTGTTAAATTTTTTAGATTAAATGTGATAGAACATTATTTAACTAAAATTTAAGTATACATGAGAACAGTTAAGCATGAAATAGTTATGCAATTTATATGAATCTTTGATTGAATTAAGCCCTATAAAATATATTATGATTTGCATGTGCATGATGATCCGGAGTACCAAATAGTAAAGAGGTTCTTCAGAGCCAATGGTTAAGGAGTTCTTCGGAGCCAATGGTAAATGAGTCAATGGTAAAGGGGTTCTTCGGAGCCATATGATAAAAGAATGGCTAAAACTTGACTGTGTACATGATCAGTACAAAACTCTGGTACTTCCAGGACGGGTGTTTTATATATTATGATTATGTATTTTATGCATTTAATGAAAGGTTATAAAGAAAGAAAAAGTTTATGAAAAATAAAGGAAAATGTTTAAGGAAAAAGGTTCAAGAAAATTGGCTATGAAAATGTCTTAAAACACGTGTCTATCAAATGTCTAATATGATCCTTTATTTGTTTTAAATATCTTATTTTTTATTATTTCATGAATTTATGATAAATGCTTGTTACATGCTGAGCATTCGCTCACCCTGCTTTTAGGAATATTTTTCAGGAGAAACTGATAAAAAGTGATGGCAAAATGACAGTTTATCTACCGTCGTAGAGGATCCCAGGATGTCATGTTTTTATATTTCTATTATGAATTGTGTCAGTTGATATATTGTGCAGTCAGTTAATGTATTTAGTTTATGTTTTAAGTGATTTTATATTTTGATGTATTTGGGATATTTCAATTTGGATGTTTAGTGGCTCTTTCTTATATTATTATTGTATGATATTTATGTTTATGTCAATTGTGAAATGAAATTTTTTATGATATGAAATAAGTGCTCTCCGTACGATCGTCTGCTCCCGCCCCGTTAATTCGGGCTAGTTGGGCCGAGTCGTGACAAACATCATCTTCATTTATTATCTATATCACACAAATAAATTACATTTTACTAAAAAAAAGAAATGAAATTATAACTTTAGATTAGGCACTTTCAGGAAAGTAGATCATATGACTAAGGTAGTAAGGTTACTAAAGTCCAATCGTATTCTCACAATTTTCATTGAAAAACTTATCAAAAATTTTCATCCACCTTTATTGAATATTCTCTTCTAATAAAAGCATATTTTGATCTTCATCATTAATGCACTTCACTTGAACTAAATCATTCTCCTTTTTTTTTTTGCTTGGCAAACTTATACATATATCTTTCACCCTCCTTAATATCTAATATATTATATAAATCATTAAAAGCTAATTTTTTTGCATCACATATTACTTTCTTAGACACCTTATGGGCCTCTT